AATATAATGATTTGTGGGCTTTATACACTCACAGAATAAGTCAGTGTAAACATATAAACACTACTTTATTGGTTGAAATATAATGATTTGTGGGCTTTATACACTCACAGAATAAGTCAGTGTAAACATATAAACACTACTTTATTGGTTGAAATATAATGATTTGTGGGCTTTATACACTCACAGAATAAGTCAGTGTAAACATATAAACAGTACTTTATTGGATGTATATAATGATTTGTGGGCTTTATGCACTCACAGAATAAGTCAGTGTAAATATATAAACACTACTTTATTGGTTGAAATATAATGATTTGTGGGCTTTATACACTCACAGAATAAGTCAGTGTAAACATATAAACACTACTTTATTGGATGTATATAATGATTTGTGGGCTTTATACGCTCACAGAACAAGCCAGTGTAAACATATAAACAGTACTTTATTGGATGTATATAATGATTTGTGGCTTTATACACTCACAGAACAAGTCAGTATAAACATATAAACACTACTTTATTGGATGTATATAATGATTTGTGGGCTTGATACGCTCACAGAACAAGCCAGTGTAAACATATAAACAGTACTTTATTGGATGTATATAATGATTTGTGGGCTTTATACACTCACAGAATAAGTCAGTGTAAACATATAAACACTACTTTATTGGATGTATATAATGATTTGTGGGCTTTATACGCTCACAGAATAAGTCAGTGTAAACATATAAACACTACTTTATTGGTTGAAATATAATGATTTGTGGGCTTTATACACTCACAGAACAAGCCAGTGTAAACATATAAACAGTACTTTATTGGGTGTTTATAATGATTTGTGGACTTTATACACTCACAGAACATGTCAGTATGAACATACAAACAGTACTTTATTGGGTGTTTATAATGACTTTCCAGCTTTATACACTCACTAAACAAGTCAGTATAAACACATAAACAGTAGTTTATTGGGTTGTTATAACGATTTGTCGGCTTTATATATTCAGATGCAGAAAGTTGTCTTTAGTGATGTACACAGGTTTATTCAATCTCGACTGAAACAAATTGTACAGTTCAATAAATATCCAAGTTTACGTATAATATATAGAATCTAATAGGTCTAGTTTCCACAGAAGCAGTGCTTAATTTTGAAAAGAAAGGTACTGGATCCCCGTTGACAGATACAGAGATAATGAGTTTTGGAAGGTAACAGTTTAAATGTTATTGATGCTATACCTATTTTGATGTGGTTGTATGAGGGTATTGAAGATGACTCAATCAAATTAAATTCACAAGCAGTATTGAAATTACTTATACTTTCCACCCTTAGATAAAAAAAAAATGAACTAGTTTTGTTTTCAAATCCGACAAAATTTAAAGAACTGCCCAGAGGTCAGCTGAATAAGAGTAACATTTACATATGTTTTGTTAGCTTATTTAACGTTAGAGATTATATTACAGAAAGCCCGACAATCATTCACAGATATATTTTTTCCCCTCAATGTATTGGGTAAAATTTTCACTTCCACAATCTGGTAACGAGTCTATCTCGTATTATTAAATCCGTTACCTTGCACCAGTCAATACTCAGTGTACTTAAAATAGTTTATATTTGAAACACTTGAACTTCCTCTAAGGTTACATTTAACTGGTTCAGAAAGTAATGAAGGATTTCTCATCTTCAATGGAAACCCTCATCTTGGATAATGTACACTTAACTTCTGATGACTGTATTAAAATTGTCAGTAAAGTTTTACACAAAGGGCAATCATAACAATTACTAACTATTAGTGTCCATAATATACTAACCAATCTGTAATAAGTATTTTAAAAATCAAAACAGAATTCACACGACCAAACTTGTAACTATGACAGTTTCACCAATTACGCATTGTTAAAAACTTTGAAAACAGAATTACCTGTAACACATTTAATTATTTTAAAGAAGTAAATTTGAATTTGATCAGGACAATTATTTTGAAACATAAGAAAGTACAAGATGGATTTCAACATTCAATACACACACAGGATGAAAAACGAAACTGGTTAAAACCTACCAAAATAAATGTTAACAGCATACACTTCATTATCACATTTTACAAACTGTATGACCTTTAGTATACAAATTTAATGTACATGATATTAGAAAAGAAGCAAAAACAACTGAACGAAACCTGATACAAACTTTCTAAATAACATCAGAAAACTAGATGATAAAAATTTTACAATTCGGTTCAAGATTTGTATTAATATAACTTGTGAAATGTATGAATGTTCCTTTCAAAATATACATTTGATTAGAAATAAACACAGCTCTTTTCATCTATGTTATTACTCTAAAACGTGAAAATAATAAATATTTAAAAACATAAAACTACAATGTTTTTATCCATTTGTATTCTAATAACACTATACAAGATTAACCAAACTTATTAAAATTATGAAAGAAAATAGTAAAATTGGAAACTGTTAATAACTAGTAACAACTTTATACCTAATCAGTTTGAACTAGTTCCACATTCATCATTTATCTTAGTTAAACTGAGGCATGTTTCCCCTGAAGTAATACTATTCAAAGTATAATTACAATGACTGAAAGTGTAAAAGTACACATAATATAAAGGTTTATGAATAAAAAGACATGTTCTTATGCTGGGAAAAAACAAAATATTCTACATCATTTAACATGTCTTTGTCATACTTAAATTCTGGCCTCTAAACAGTCTAGAGTATAGTTATTTAAGATCTACACAGTAAGTTAATTTGTTTGTTTGTTTGTAATTATGCCCATAGGTACACAATGGGCTATCTGTGCTCTGCCCACCATGGGTATCGAAACCCAGTTTCTAGCGTTGTAAGTCTGCAGACATACCGCTGTGCCACTGGGGGGGCCAGTAAGTTAGGTTTGCCACATTCGCTAAGGCACACTGACAATATAAAACTAGAGGGAATTCCTCACATCTATCTATGTTAAAAGCCCAAATGAAATATATATTTTTTTTTCTCCAGAATATTAGGCTGTATCATTGATAAGAGAGAAGTGCTGACAGTTTTAGCTACTAATCATATGGTTTTTGAGGACTGTATGAAATAATGTCTTCAAATGACTAGGTCAAACACTGATGAAAAAATAAATATAACTTGTTAACTTCAAAGGTAAATAAATGAGTTTTTCCGTCCTTGTTTCACGATCAATTATCTGTTAGAGATAGTAGCAGATATCTGAGGCTGAGAATCAGGAACTTACACAAGTCATTCAAATAAGATATATACCAAAAGTCATCTATGACACATGTTTTTATACTGGCCTCTGCTGAATGAACAGTACCTGGTACGTTATTCATCAGCTTTTCCTACACTAATTTCTTCACTGTCGACTTTGGACAATTTTGCATTCTTCTTCCTCACAAGAAGAGCAGCTACTACTCCAACAATCAACACAGCTACCAAAGAACCAATAACAATCCCTGCAACAGCTGCAGTACTAAGACCTGCAGAAACGGTAACCATGGTAAAAGTTGTACACATTATAGGGTGTAAATAGTGGATTTCAAAAATAATATATATACCAATAATTAGATTAATTTGATTAATTAGATATCATAATACATTCTATCTTAGAAAACTAATTCAGTTGAACTTGTAAATCTTAACTATTTAAATTAAAATATTTAAATGAGTTTAAGAATTGTGATAAATTATCAAGTGTAACTTCAATGGATATATTCTAACATTAATGATTGTACTTTGTAACAGCTAAAAACATAAGCCTGATGTAAGTGTATTGACAGATCTCTTCAACTGTTATGGTAGTTTGATTTTTCTTTTTAATCTCATCATATGTCTCTGTAAGCAGATTTTAATAAAACCAAGCTATTGTTAAATGATTCATTTTGGTCCAAGTTTTTCTCCCGAATTTTCAAAACTTGCAGGTAAAAGACAAAACGCTGGTGTCTTTTATAACAGTTTATTCTCAACCTTCTGTTAACAGTATTAATATAACTCTTGCAAAGTCTGGTTATTTGTCCATGAAGAAGTTAGTGTTAAATGGTCTTATAAAAAGGAAATATTATGAAATGAAACATACTGGGTTATATTAGATAACAACATCTCACTGAAAATAAATATGAAGCTCAACCTATCATTCAATTCACAATTTATCATTCAGTTATGTCTTTGTCTAGGGCTACTGAAGAATAGTGAATTTCCCCAAAATCAGTATAACTCAGTGGCAAGTGATGAATCAAATGATACTTTGAGCTTCCAGTTTATTAGTAGTGTCTTAAACAATTTGGCTGCTGAATAATTCAGAAGAATAAACAAGTAGCACGAATTTACATATTCTTCAAATCCATTTGACATATGGGTTCACTGTAGTGAGTAAAAGATAACTAAACACACCACAAAACAAAAATAACTCGTCTATGAAGCACCATCTTCGTGCGGCAATACTTACATTGGAGAAACTGGACTACTAGACTAACACACTCAGATAAATTAGATTTGGCTGAACATAGCTACAAAATTGGGCATATCATAAACTGGGATCAACATAGAATTTTTGACAAAGCTCACCATTGGAAAGAAAGAAAAAAATCAAAGAAGCTATTTACATCAAACTTCACCAACCTGACAAAGACAATGGCATGTACATCAACGACCTTTGGACATCCACTCTCAAGAAACTCTGCAGATAAAATCACGTCTTCCACGTACAACACCTGCCAATCACCACTCTTGCTTTACCTCACAGCCTGAGATTTACCACACGATCATGCTTACCTTTCATAAGACATTACACATGTTCCTAAAGCGACCTGAAGAAGGCTTCAGTATAGAAGCCAAAACATTGTTCTCTTTTCACTCAACAGGCAGTGGCAGTCCATTAAAGTTCACAAACCTACTATGTCTACTCTGCCTAAAGTTCCATTGAAACACCAGCATAACATACGTAAAAAACCTAACTAAATAACCTACAATACACTTTCATTTCGAGATAGTAGAACGATGCACTTATCAATAATAAGTACATTATAGCAATAGAAACATTTAATAGGCCACCCATATTCAATAATTTTAGGACAAAAAATGGTATATGAACCTACAATCACAATCATAATTATTTATAACCCAATAAACATAAACAAGGTTGGAAGTTATAATAAAGCTTAAATATAGTCAATACTGAAAATTAAACATGTTTACAAACATGTGAGAAACTTTATGTTGGGCAAGTTTATATAAAAATATTTCGATTAGCTTTCTGTAACAAAACTTCATATTAATTCAGTTTGTTTAAATTTTTTTAAGTTAGCTTTCTGTTAAGAAACTTCATGTTAATCTAGGTTGTATTTTTAGGTTAGCTTTCTTCTAAGAAGCTTCATGTTAATTCGGTTTGTATAAATGTTTTTGGGTTAGCTTTCTGTTAAGAAACTTCATGTTAATCTAGGTTGTATTTTTAGGTTAGCTTTCTCCTAAGAAACTTCATGTTAATTCAGTTTGTATAAATGTTTTTGGGTTTGCTTTCTGTTAAGAAACTTCATGTTAATTCAGTTTATATAAATGTTTTTGGGTTAGCTTTCTGTTAAGAAACTTCATGTTAATTCAGTTTATATAAATGTTTTTGGGTTTGCTTTCTGTTAAGAAACTTCATGTTAATTCAGTTTGTATAAATGTTTCTGGGTTAGCTTTCTAACTTTATGTTAATACGGTTTATATAAACATTTTCAGGTTAGCTTTCTGTTAAGAAACTTCCTGTTAATGCAGGTTGTAATTTTATGTTAGCTTCCTGTTAAGAAACTTCTTTTAATCCAGTTTGTATAAACATTTTGACTCACTTATATTCATTTATAACAAACTAAAACAGGACAATGTGGCTGAAAATACCACACATTTTAAAATGGAAAATACTTTCTTCTTGTTTATTATAAAAACCACACATCTTAATTGAGCCTATGTTTAATAACTTACCAATAGGAACTTCTAGAACTGTGAAAGCACTAAGATGGTTTGATCTGCAAGTTACCATGCCATCTGCAAAACCAAATGTTTTCAAACCATCTGTTTTCCAGGCTTTCTCACTTGAGCTCCAGAAGTGACATTTAGGAGCAACCTGACTGTCCTCTGATATGTTCACAGTCTGCGTTATTGTTAGGATGATCAAATCAGGAATACTATTCAGTTGAATGATCTTACCTGTTGTAGGAAATGTGAAGCTAATTTAATAACTGACAGTAATTAAGACAAATTAGTATGTTCACAAAGCATTATTAAAATCAAAAACATAATTTTGCATCATCTCAAGGAACTATCATCTTGGTTAAAGATTCCAATGAAAATAAATTGGTAAAAATATTTTTGTTCAAGATTTGCTAGGGCTAAAAAATATGTGATATATTAATGTTTTTATTGTTTACTTAATGATATGTTAAAAGATCAAGACAGTAAAGATATTTGAGTTTAAGTTGTGGATAATGCCATGATTTTATTTCAAAAAGACCGTATAAAATTTGCAGAAATTGACAAACAATCACAGAATGTAAAATGCTGAGAAAAATACTAAAGAAATCAGCAAAATTCAGTGTTATAGTGGTAGAGCTTTGGACTACTAATAAAATGGTTATGGGTTTGAAGCTCACCCACACATAATCATTGTGTTCTTAAGAAAGATACTTTACCCAAAATTTCCTTCCATCTACTTAACTGTAAAATATGTTGGGGCTAAAAATGATAGGTTAAAAGATGATTGACTGGAATCCCATCCAGAGGTAAAAACACTCTAATCCACTTGTGCCACAAGAAACTGGAGTAAAGCACACCAACACACCCTCCTACTCTCCAATGTGTTTTTAAGACATAAAAAGTATTTAACTTACTTTAAATACTGGTTAAAGTCTGGCAAAAATTATTGGTAGATCTAGTGGTAAATTACACACGTTCTATTGTACTAATAAAGGTAATACAAATGAACAAACTCTAAAATCTACTAATGATGCATCTGGTAATAAAAAATTAAATCTAAAATTTCTATTCAATATTTTTCAGATGATTTAAGGATAAATCTTGAAATAATGTTTCTGATCCCTCAATCAGGAACTTTATATATAGATAAGGAATCCTATAGTAATATGAATGAGTAAGCTTTTAAAACAGCTAAACAGGAATATCAAAACAAGACAAAAAGAATTTTACTTGTCATCATAAGTTACAATATAATTTTAGTTGACTGTCCATCATTTACTTGTTTTCATCTTCCCTTACAGCCACTTCAAAAGTCTGTTATTCAATCAGCAACTTGTTCCTATGTCTACGGATTGTTGCCATTTTGTTACAATTTAATTATTAATAATTAATAAATATTAATAATTATTAGTATTATTTAATATTCATGCATGAGAGATGTGGATTTGCAAAATCATAGTAGATGGACAATATTTCTATTCCTAATCATTTACCTCTACAGGTTCTGAAAAATCATAGTAGATGGACAATATTTCTATTCCTAATCATTTACATCTACAAGTTCTGAAAAATCATAGTAGATGGACAATATTTCTATTCCTAATCATTTACATCTACAGGTTCTGAAAAATCATAGTAGATGGACAATATTTCTATTCCTAATCATTTACATCTATAGGTTCTGAAAAATCATAGTAGATTGATAATATTTCTATTCCTAATCATTTACATCTACAGGTTCTGAAAAATCATAGTAGATTGACAATATTTCTATTCCTAATCATTTACCTCTACAGGTTCTGAAAAATATAATAAGTTATATGATATCATCCATTGGACCTCTTCTATTAGTAATTGAAATTAAAAGATTTGTTTACTTAAATGCAGCAAAACATAATATAGAAAAAAAATATATAAACACAAATATTCTTATAGAAATTAAATTTACATTCTTAGACAAATATTAATAACTGCTATGGAAAACAAATATTTTTTTAAAGCTGAAATATATTAATACTAATATTTTTTTATAGAATTTACATTATAAATATTAACAACTTTAAAGAGAAACTAATATAAAGTTTTTTCTTATTGCGAGCTGAAAGGCAAGACTCTGTCACCTGTTTCTGGTGTTTGAAGTTCAATAATGACAATTGGAGCTACACGTCTGAAGACTGGATCTTCTGGGAGAGGATTAAGTTTATCATATAATCTCATGGATATTGCAACTCCTTGGCATTTCTTTGTTTCACATTTCCAACGTTTGAACCTAAACGTGTGTAATTAAAATTTTAAAATGAATAACATTTCAGATTGTTTCAATTCATTTGAAAATATTATAAAATTCTAGTAGTGATCATAAATAGTGACCAAGGAGAAAATACAGCTACTTAAATATATATGTATATGTTACAATACTTCACTGTTTTATATGGCCCAGCATGGCATGGTTAGGATACTTGACTCACAATCTGAGGGTCACTGATTTGAATCCCCATCCCACCAAACATCTCATGGGGGGCATTATAATGTGATGGTCAATCCCAATATATGTTGGTAAAAGAGTAGCCCAAAAGTCAGTGGTAAGTGGTATTGACTAGCTGCCTTCCCTCTAGTCTTTCACTGCTAAATTAAGGATGGCTAGTGCAGCTAGTCCTCATGTAGCTTAGCAAGAAATTCAAAATGAACAAAACCATGTTTTATCAACAATTGATAAGGCTGACAAAATTTTTATGATAAAGTGACATTAATGTTCCCAAACTTAAAAGTTAAATGATTTATTTGTATTTATTTATAGACAACCGTTAGTAAAAATTAAATTTTTGCAAGAGTTCTATTACAATGCTCACTTGAATTCTGCTAAAAGTATTAACATAAAAACAAAAAAACGAGTGGACTACAAAAGTCACCAGCACCTATTTTGAACTTCAGTACTAAACTCTGCTGATGCTTCCACAGTGTCATCTTCTTGTTTCCCTCTAACTTCAATCATTCCACTATCTTTGTCCAACATCATATATTGTAGAGCTGCTTTTGGAAGATTTTCATCTTTGGTTTGCAGTTCAAGCTTCTGACCAGCAGTTAATAAAGCAGCAGCAACCTTTGTCAGCTGATGATGAACTCTGCCTAACTTTTGAAGAGTTTTTGGGTCATCCTGATACAGCTCTATAGCATTAGTGACCAAAGAAAATGCTTCTTGTATAATGGTTACAGATGGGTTTTTCTGAAAAGTAAAACACTTAGTTTAAAGAAGACACAGGTATAGTTGGATACATCTCTACTAACACGTTGCTAATACATAAAAGTTAACTGTTTTGGATATGCTACTGGCATAATTAGAGCTAATAAACTTAAATTACTTATAAACAGTCAGTTTTATGCAACTCCAACTTATGGATGCTTAGTCTGGTCATATTACTTAAATAAATAGTCAATACTTTCCAAATTACCTTCAGAATTTAGATGTACAAGTGCAAACAGTATAAAAACATGTAGCTTTTTTCAAAAATGGACATATATCAGAAAAAATATAAGTAATGAAATATTTTTGCCATTAAAATACAGAACCTAAATTTATCAATGCTTACTCCCGGCCACATTCCCTGAATATGCCAAATCCCCAAATACAAAACTTGAAATTTACAAAAGTTACTTCAACAATAAGTTCACTGCAAAGATTACAAATTATTAACTCAAATACAAACAAATACCAAGTTCATTTGGAAAAACAATTATGTAATCTTTTTGGAATACATTCCTAAGTATATTCTGAATGAAAAAATAAGAAGAAGAAAGTTGTAATTTGACTTGTTTTTTAGTTCACCTCATTATGATCTATCTCAAAACACAGAGGACATCAAACAAAGCAAGCTAATCTTGAGATAGAAAAGAGAAAACCTTAAGAAGATATACAATCACAATAACCTCCTTTGAGGTTTATGCAAAACAAAATGGTTTAGTTCAACTAAAGTTGTTTGTGGTCCACAATACTGTTTTGGTTAACTCCAAAGGCTACATTCATAATTAAATACAGTGTGTGTGTGTGTACATATACGTAATCAAAATTTTTAAAACTTGAACCACATTCTACTTGCTATCACAACCATTTTAATTAGGACTTAAAAATGTCTGTTCCAACTCCAACTCTTAGACTAAAAAATAAGTAAAATAAGAGGGAATATGTTGTATGATCTAGGAGTTTTATACCGTTTCATTTTTCATAGAACTATTCTTTATCTAATGCACAATTTTAAAAATGAATGGTTACCTCAGAAGCCTTAGTTTTTAGGATAGTTCTTGCAACAGCAGCGATAGCTTTTAACCTTACTGCTTGGTCACCACTTGATAACAATGAGCTTAAACTGTTTAAAATAACAGAAGCATCTCCTGTTGTTATGGGCTGGTAAGCAATGATTTCAGTTACATAACTAATTGCTTGCTGGGACTCCTCTGTTGTGAGATTACGATTTAAAGCCGAAACAGCAAGTGACAAGAAGGTCAGAGCTTGTAATGGACTTCCTAGAAAAATTGATACAAGTTTTTTTTATTTAATAAAAGAAAAATATTTTCTCATTTGAACATCTCGGTAAATGAATTAATAGAAAACAGTTTACAAAACTGGAATTAAATGAATAATATGCTTAGTACTTCATAAGTTGGTTTTTAGCATTTTAGCAATGATAAAATCATTTCTCAAAAATTTGTAGCACTTTTTAAATTTACTGTTTCATTTAAAATTTCTTAATCTTTTATAGGAAAGTACAGCAACTCTCAAAAATATCATTAAAAAAATCTAGAACTGGAAATGTTGTCAATTCAATCATGGGCTACTCTAATGAAATAGCACGATTGACCCTCACTCTTATAATAGGCACCAACTGTAACGAAGTGTGCAGTGAGGTTTTGCTGCAAGCCATAGACTCTCAAATTCAAAGTGGGTAAGTTAACCCTATGGCTCTGCCCAGTCTACTTACAATGTAAATAGCAAAATTTCCTTCATGATATTAGAATTCAATAAATTTGTCATTGCAATACTTTGGTAGGTTCTATTCCTTCCATTGCTTTTCTCAATTACAACTTAAAATCATTCTACATACAATAATAATACCTTTCAATATATAACTTTGATAGTTAAATTTATGTGGTAGAATTAAGTTTATTATGTTTACCATAACCTGACACCACTAAAATAAAGAAATGTCATCCAAATGTGATTTCCATAAATTAAACTTGAATTTACACATAAGAAAACGTTTTTAAGAATAATTTTTGTTTTAATGTAAACGAAAGCACAAAACTATTAAACTTGTGTGTATTCTAAAATATCTGATAGGTAAAAAGAAGCCTGTTTTACTAATTATCTAACTGACTGTAAGCTAATTCTCAAAATTAAGGGCAGAATTTACTAACACAAAATTAACACAGTTAAGGTTAGAAAGACACTAAAGAACTTTTTACAAATGATTAAGAAAAACTTGAGGTGTTATTTCTACACCAGTAAAACAGTGAGCCAAAATTCAACAAACAAACCTGTTTCTTGTGCCTGTTTTGATAATATGTATAGAGTGTTTGCACTCTGTGTCCCATTAGCTGGTAGAGTCACCTGAACAGGATTGGAGCGAAACCACAGACACACACCAAACCTGTCACACACCTAGTATTTAAAGAGAAAAAAACTGTAAAACACTAACTAAAGTAAAACTGAATTAGAATAAAACCACTGACACACACCAAACCTGTTGCCCACCTAGTATTTAAAGACAAAAAAACTGTAAAACAGAAACTGAAGTATAACTGAATTGGAATAAAACCATTGACACACACCAAACCTGTTGCACATTTAGTATTTAGAGAGAAAAAACTGTAAAACACTGACTAAAGTAAAAATGGATTGGAGTGAAACCACTGTCAGACAGATATTCAGCAAGAGAACAAGAAAGAAATCGTGTTGCATTGACTACTGATTTTAACCCTTTGCATGCAGAGTCAGTCTAATCAACTGACACCTCCACCTACCGTATCTTTAAAGGTATGCGTAATACTTAATGCTTACTACAACTATGAATGTACTCAATGCATCTTTACAAAACTGGCTAAGCTTTAGCAAACATTACATGTCTGTTGTACAAAAAAAGTCAGATTCTTGATTTTAATAAAGTATTTCTACTAAAGATTTGTCTGTGAATTTATGAAGATTTTTCCAAGTCAGACTGAGTCAAATTTGATTTTCATACAAAGAGTAAAATACTTCTTTTCATCTAACAGTTTGACATTTCATTCACATAACTGCTAGAGACTCATAAGTGAATATATAAAGTATTTTTTGGTAAAACTTTACATTTCAGCTACTTTTTTTTCCTCTACCTGAACACTAACTGGCAGCAAATTCAACAATATTTAATGAAATGAAAGTTGAAAAATACAAAATATAATCAATAATATTTTTTTTTTAGAATGACCACAGACTGTAACAGACAATTACAATTATTTATCTTAACAGCCACAGCTTCTAGCCTTTTCACCTTTGCTATCTTTTAATTTTGATGTTTTATTACTGTACATTGAACCCCCCTCTCTTTCTGCATAAAAAGAATAAATTCTAGTGGGATATTTCCAGTACAGCTTTGGGTAAAGAACGACCAGATTTCAGTCACATGCTAACTGTGAGAGCTTCTTCATCAAATTAAATTTGACTTAAGTTTTGTTGCCTATGAGGTTACTATGTTAACATTTTCCTTACCTCTGTACATAGAGTAGTTATTTTCCTCTTGAAGCTGTGCTATTTTACCTGAAAGAGTTGGTTACCACCAGATCTGTAAAACTCCTATCTAAAATTCATGAGAAATTACATTACTGGGTGATGGCATATCATACAGCAAAACCATTCACCAATAGGCATGACACACCTCCTTGCTCAAATGTTCCCTCTATATTAATCCATGAAAATTCTCATTCTTTGATGAGGCAGCCAATAAAAGTACACTGGGACAATGAGGAGGAAAGGTGGGAACATGAACAAAGGTGAGTATTTATCAAAAATACATTTTCAGGTAAGGAAAATGTTAACTTGCCATATGATCACTCACCTCCATGTACAGATTAGCTAGAATCCCACATTGAGATGGTGGAGGGAGCAGTGCAAAAATTACCTAGATGAGCCTCCTTTCGAGAGTGTCAAAAGAAAACCCATGGGGTGCAACACTCTATAATAGAGGCTTCACAGGGGTACACCCATGAAAGAATGCATCTCATCTAAGATATACACTTCTCCCGAGTGAAGGACAGGAACAGGCAAGAAGTCTGAAAGGTGTCACAAGGACAGGAGGAATAGGTACATGACTGTCCAAAAGCTTGCACACAAGCTGTCAGACAATCAGTATGTGTAGTAAGGTTGGGGCACATTTAGGCTGTACCTTGTGTGCTCATCTTCTTGACCATCAATCTATCTCTACAGGTCAATATCAGTTGTGGGAGAAGGGCACATGGGAAAAGTATCTGTGCACAGCTCCTTCACCATCAGACACGAAAGGCCCACACTATTCATGGGAGGATGGCATAACAATGGACACAACTGAGAAGGATTCTTAGGAAATCACCACTCAACCATCAGACCTCTACAGGTTGTTCAACAGCTGTGGGAATAGGGTTAATAAGCAACACATTACAGTTGGATATTAAGAAATATCAATTGTTCTGCAAGCATATTTGGTGGGGTCATGACCTTGAAGGAGTAGGTAAAGAAAAAACAGAGAGTAAATGAGCTAAGTGTCTAAAATCCACTTGGAGATTGTCATGTATCTATGTAAGGCTGGGGTGGTCTGAACTACACACTGGAAACACCCTTGCCTTACTTCTCAGCATAGAGGGACCAATTGTTTTAGCAGCAGCTGTTAAGTCCCAATTGATGAGGATTCTCCATAGTCCATCAGCCCAGAGGCTGGTAAATGGCAAGAGTCACTTGTGGAACACTCTATCTTACTGTGAGCACTGATTGAGCCAGGACAGATGGTCTGAGCATTTTTTGTCATCCTGAACTGATGCAGAATTTGTAGTAAGTATACCCTGTAAAGCAACACTAGCTACCTAGTGAGATCCAAATGTAGATGAAAGGTGAGGAAGGAATAAGTAAAGAAATAGCCTCACCTATTACAGGCGCAGGGTCAACTGAAGAATGGTTATTGGTGAAAGTCTGTGTTCTAATGGAGACAAGAAAACCAGATGGTGGAGATTTTTTAATGTGAGACAAATGATTGTGGGGTAGTCCCCATGCCAGTCTGTAAAAAAGAAGGGTGAGAGAAATTGGGAGGAGAATAACTTAAGAGAGGAGATGCAGGAGAGCATAAAATCTTCTGCCTTTAGAGGAGCATATATGACACTTAAGAGCTGCTAAATACAATCTGTAATGGGGTAAGGAGAAAGATGCTGACATGTTAAGAAGAAATAAACCAGGTTGGAATATTATCTACTATGTGTAAATGTGAAGAAGTAATGAACTATAAAAAATATTATACTTGATGTATGACTTGTAAAGGAGTAATGGACAGAACTAAACATTATCTTCCAGGTGTACATATTAAGGAGTAAACAAGCAGAGCTGAACATTATCTGTCATGGTAATAAGAAAAACTATGACAAACATTAATCATTATGTGGACATGTTAAGGAGTAATGAACAAAATCTATACATTTTCATGAAGGTATTACAAGTTAAGAAAGAATAAACAATATTTAGATATTATTTTCTAGTCTGTAAGTTAAGGAATAACAACAAACTGTGATGAAACGTTTCCTCTTAAGTGACATAAAGAGTAAGGAACTATGACCAAACAGCATATTCTGTATGTTATATGTTAAAGTGTAATGAACAAGAGCTAAACATTAACATCTAAGAGTACATGTTAACTCTTTCGCTACGGGCTCAATCCCACGGATCGACCTCATAACCATTTTGTGCTTGTTTCGGTTTTCATACTATAACTTTTAATACAGTAAACATATGTTCAGGAAATTTTGCAGATTATCAGTAAACATTACAAGGCTTTTGTATACAGAATATCAGATATTTTAAGTAATGATTTGCTCATGAATTTTTTATTGACTATCCAGCATGCAAAGTAATTTTGATTTTAAAATTAAATATGCATCAGAAAATTGTCAAATTTCAAATGTAAATTCTTTATAAACTCCAGACAATTATCAAATTTTTTTTAGAAAAAACTATATTTCATCTGTTATTTTCACTATTGTATATCTGTACGAGTTTGGTCAATTTGACTGGCCTTGTAACCACCATCAAAAATTAGAAAATAGATATAAATTATGCTTTTTTCGTTCTATAAATTATAATACGAGGCCACAAATGTTTAGTATAAATAGCTTAAATCTCATAACATTATACATCTACATATATTTATTATTTTATTAACCTTTCAGTTGTGTTTGACTAACATAACAGAAGTTGCAATGACATGGTGCATGTGCATCCATGTTACTATATCCAATAGTACAATAGCCTTTACAAACTGACCTGACCTGGCTTTGTTCTAGTGGACCAGTATTTTGTAAAATACAGTCATATTTCAGTTATAATACATTACATATGTATACATGTTATTATTGTTTTCAAACAAGTTCTTAAATTTCAGTTTTCTTAAAACATAGAACAGTAAATAAAGAAGTATAGACAACAATGATCTCTACTATTTACGATTGAAAAGAAGTTTGTACTCACTTCCTGTACCTGGCATGCTAAGCCTTGCCAAATTTCATATATGGAGAATATAAAACAAAATAACTTTTTTGGGTTTTATATATGCATTTTGAAATGACAAAAAATATTAAATTACTCTACCAATATCACAGAATACTAAACTCTAAAAAAATACTGTTTTTTTTTTTAACCACATTTTCACTTACCCCTTCCTTCTGGCATAGAGACAAAAGAAATAATCTTGAGAGCTCCTACCTTGAAGAAGTTGAGAAAAACCAGATGGGGGAAATTCTGAGATTTTGATTAGTTAGAAGTACATGATAAAGTGAAGCAGGTGTATGTAAGCAAGTATTTCCAAAAATGGAAAAGGTGGGCAGGGCCACTTTGTTTGATTCACTAAATATAGCGATTTCTCAGCAAATATAAAAGATAGGAGGTTCTTATCTTATATTCTAGCTTCTCAATATCAGTTACTTTAGTTTCTAATTTGTTAGAAACTATAGACTTTTTACTTGGACATCACAATCATATAATTTGAACCAAAGCTGTATTCAATGTACCATGTGACACACAAAAATCGATATTTAGGAATTGTTTTTCTATATTTACTTTTAAATTAAGAAATTAACTAATGTATAATCCTAAAATTTGAATTATATTCTTCAATTTGATACCAAACTTACTGACATACATTCATAAAATAGTAGTTCAATAAAATTTTAATAAAATAAATAACTATTTCTAAAGATCAACAGTTATATGTATAAGGAAAGGAGCAATGAACCATAACAAATGCTATACTGTAGGTAGGACATGAAAAGGTTGTAGCTAATTATGTCTAAGCATTATCTCCAGTGAGTTACAAGTTAAAAAACAATATCAAAACATTATCTTCTATGTGGACATGTTGTGAAGTAAGAACTAAATATGGAGAAGTACTGGGTGGAAAAAGTCGCTTCATTTCATCCTCTTCAACTTCAAACTTCTGTGAAGGGATATGTGTGGCAGGAACAGAAGAAGAGAGTCCAGGTATAAAGATGGATCCCACCACACACACTGGACAATAACTGTCACAAACTGAACAGGCAAAGAACTTCCTAAGTTGTTGGAAATTGTGAGTGATATTTGCAGTCACTTTAGCAGAAAAATAATTTAAGTTAATTTGTGAATTCATACTGAAAAGCTGAAAACACAAGCAAAATAGTTGAAGTAAAATACTTCAACATGTCACAGCAGAATCAAACACATCTTTGCACAACTGTGCTGAGGAAAAGAATGAAGATTTTCATGAATGTTGAAGGAGCATTTTTGCAAGGTAGAAGGTTTTCCTGCATGATAAGTCATGATGTGAATTTCACAAGGCTGGTAAGCACACATATCTCTCAGGCAGAATAGCACAACTTCAAGAGGAAAATAGCTAGCCTGTGTACGAAATTCTACATTTTAGTCACTTTGTTGTAAAAAATATAACAATAAATAGAAAATGCACTTACTTTAGTATTCAGGCCATTTACTCTTGGGGTTACTGAAGCATGGCATCTATGCTTCAGTAACCCTATTTTTCTTTTCTATGTTGGTTGTCCAAATAAACAATTCATGTAGTTTTCAAATATGCATGTCACTCAACCAAAGCTTTTCTTGCTAACTGTCATCTTTATTGCCAAAAACCAAATAAATGAATGTTAACATTTGCTTACACTGAAAATGTATTTCCAATAGGCACTTACATCCTCTCATCCAAATCTATCTTGACCTTGGTTTGCCCTCTAAGCATTGCTAAAAATTTTATCACTAATAGGTTACCAGTCTTTTATACCCCTTCATTTTTGCACCTTTCAAAACGTGTTGATCGTGTGATTACCCTCCATCAATCATACTGTGTCATCTATACTAGTGCAGGTAGCTCCCTTTATTATTTTAGCCCAATCCTCACTTTGACATGCAAAAAAGTGTACCACTCGACAAAACACATAGGGAGCTGAGAAGGACCAAATGGCAAGGCCCAGAACTGGAAGACAGAACCTTTGTGGATGAATTGAAGAAAATAATATGACAATGGGACAACTGGAATATGAAGATAGAAATCGATCACAGTGAACTTGGTCATCCAAAGTCCTGTGGAAAAAAAGAACCCATTGAAGTGAGAGGTAGGACTCCATGATGAAGTAAGGGGTCTCCAGATAGGCATACAGCTGGGACAAATCTATGGTGGGTCTTCAATCTCCCGTGGTTTTGTTTTGAGGACAACAAATAGACAGGAGTAAAATTATGGTTGATTGGGCACCACCTATTCAATAGCTCCTTTGTGTAGGAGGTCTCGGACAGACTCGGCAAGACAACTGGAAGAGGTATGAACCCAAGAAGGAGGAAAGGAGATCTGGGAAGTGGATAAAGATGGGAGCAGAACAGAAGGCAGAAACCTTTACATAGAGCCCGTACAACCCACAAAACTGTCATGAAGTGTAGCTAAAGACACATAAACTAAACATACATAGAGAAAGTACTCATTACAATGAACTAACAAAACTTAGAAATTTGTAAAGTCTACAAAAGACATAAAAATAATGAACCTGAAAAACTATGAAAATCGACCTAAAACCTACAACAATAAGCAACGCCTAAAATATGAAACCACTAAATGAACTTAGATGATAAAAGATCTATAAATATCGAACTTATAAGTCCACTCAAAGAACCGATAAGACTATGGACACAAAAGTAAAGCCTACCCTGAAGAACATGAGAATAAAAAGGCACCCAATTAACAATAACAAATGTTGACTCAAATCTAATTGCCAATTAGATGCAACTAGTTGTAAAGAAAAAAGGAACTTACAAACAAATTAACATAAACAGTGAAAAGAAGTATAAATAATGAACCAACACACCCACAAAATTGGCCGAAGTTACAATTACCCAAACAGTAACTAACATGCAAAACCCATACATATACCAAAAATGAAACAAATTAATAAACAAACTCTAAATGCAAAGTTAAACTAAAGTAACTGAGATGGAAAAAGAATTATAAAAATCTAACTTACCAAATAGTGAGCAGAGAAGACATGAAAGACCTCAATTATTGCAAGCTCACATGAACCCGCTAAACATGGGTATACCAACTGAGAGTGAGAAATACACGCTGAAAACTTACCACAGATCTCCAAACCCAGCAGATTACATGAAGGCATGGTAACAGGTGGAAAGTGCCATAGAAAGAAATTTCCACTCACTAGTTATATTCTTCCTCATAAAATATCGTAATGTGAAAGAAAGAAATTGTCAGCTGAATGTACAACACAAACTACCCGTGAACTAAAGCCTGTGCTTCCACAGCAAATATTGTCAACCCTGAGACCTGGGTACTCATATCAGAACCACTGTCTACTTCTGCAGGAAATTTACCATCCACCATATTAAATCTCAAATTCATATGAATAAATTAGAATTCAGAAAATGGAAATATTTCTCAAAAAACGAATAGAAACAATGGAAATCAAACACAAGAAATTGAAACTTATAGAAATTAGTGATCAAGCACAATCAAATTTTTGTAGTCACATGGAGAGCAAGTTAAAACACACGTCTATAAACTAAAATGCCAATTGAGAAAGTGAGGATTGTGTTAGAATAGTAGAGAGTTACTGCGCTAGTATAGATGACACAATATGATTGGTGGAGGGTAGTCAAATGATCAGCAGATGTTCTGAAATGGCACAAAAATGAAAGGGTGTAAATGACTGGGGAGCTGTTAGCAATAAAATTTTTAGCAATGCTTAGAGGGCAAACCAAGGTTGAGATAGCTTTGTGTGACAGGAGGTAGTGCCATTTTGGAATTTATATTCCTGTACATTACAATATGCTCTTTCTATTGGTCACAAGCATGCCCATCAGACAAGTAAGCAAGAATGAACAATTGGCTTGAAATTCATTAAAAGATGGGAGAGGCTAATCTGCTGGGTTTGAAAATTTTATTGAAATCTCAGAATATCAAAAGATTGAATTTTTCAATTTGTCCTTGTCAATATGTGTAGTTTGTATTTCTAATTGGTTGTAAACCCCAGCCTATTTTTGGTGTTAAAACTTATGAAAGGGAGAAATTGAAGCACAGATGCATCATGTGACACAGAAGAGTTAAGACTGAGAATTTTTTTTTTTTATTGTGTCCTTTTGAAACTAAGAAATTCAAACTTAGATAATATTAAAATTTGGATTATTGACTACATTTTGATGTTAAGTTTATTAACACACACATTGATAATAAAATTGTTTAGTTACACTTTGAACATAATTTTATAAAAAGTTGTGATCCTGTCCTGCACATAGTGTTAACTGGATTAGTTAAACCATCATAACACATACTAAACCTGTCATACAATAATACAACTGTATCACACAGACTAGAATCATCTGAACTGGATTGGAATGATATCACTGACACCTAGTATTCAAAGAAAAAAATATAATACTAATAGCTTACTCTTTAATCTTTAGACAAGCATGTTATTTTCACTTTTTTTTAAATACACATTAATATAAATACCATACAATCTTTTACTGGTTTGATAACTACAAATGTGTTGAAGAATTGTACCTTTGCAGTATAAAAAACAGTGCTGCTGTTAGCTGGGGGAGGAAGACCAATAAATCGAAAGATGTAAGAGAACTGAAGAGAAGTGACAGGAATAAGTTTCTCTAATGACTGCATATAGAGCTGATACGTCAGTGGGGTTCTTTCTGTTGGAACTGAGCAGGTAAGTACAACAGCTTGAGTCTGTAAGATAAATACAAATTGTCAACATCACATTGTGCACATTGAGAATTATCAATTACAAACTGTTTTAAAATTCATAGGATAACTTTTTTGCTAAATCTATCTTAAGCTCATTTAATTCTTAATTTTATTAATTTTTGACAAAATCCAAGTGATTTTATAGTTCACATTTCACTTTGGTATTTGCTTCAGTTATAAATACTTATTTTTATTTTGATCACTAACAATGCTTAGGGATGATTAAATAACGTTTTTTTTTATACTTGTGCCACACTTTACAACAGACAGGAAACCAGTGATAGTACATGAATCAAACAACTAGTCTTAGTAAATGAAATTATACTCCATCCTTTTTTTTAATATTATTGGTTATAAAGTTTAATATATATAAATATATATTTATTTATTCACACTTATAAAGAATATTTTGCACTGTTATCTTATATACAAATTTACGTATAGTTTGGTTGTTGTTAAGTGCAAAGCTACAGAATGGGCTATCTGTGCTCTGCCCATCACAGGTATAAATGATTTTTAGCATTGTAAGCCCATAGAAATTTAGGTTTAACTTAAATTTCCAAAAGTGGACGAATCTTGTGAGATGTTATTGGGATTATAGCTGAAAATAAATAATAACAAGTGTACCCAACTGAAATATTCCAATCATTATAGCTTTCTGTTCTCTTACAAATGGTCTTAGGACATTAAATAACTCAATTCTAGTTAGTCTGTTAACCACAGTTAACTATATCTTTAAAAAAAAAAAGCTTATTCTTTAATTCTGATCTATATTATTTGCATGCTTTGATCAGAAAATATTTAGAATTAACAGCCTAATACATTTCGCTGCCCTTATGTCTATTTTACTTCTTACCTGTAATAGTTTTTGTTGAAAAAAAATTCAGGTTTGTGCATATAATATGATTATTATTATGTACATTATGTGTCTGCATTAAAAGAGAGTTACTTACTTACGTATTCTCTCTTTGACTTACCCATCCATACGCAACATAAGGTTCCACATACACATGACACAATGCAACTACTGGAAAAGCATAAAGAGTCAAATTGGCTGTGCCACAAGCTCCATCATTGTTACATGCCTCCAGATCAATGACATACACACCATGCTCTACTATTGTGCCTGTTGAAAAATCAATATATAGTTCTGTCTGTAATCAAAACAATCAGAATATGTAGAGTGGTAGTCAAAAAACATCAGTCACTACACCAAAGATATACTTCAAAACAATAACACAGCATATATCTTCTTATTCTAGAAATGATAATTTTTATTACTATGAAACTTAGTGTAGTTTTTTCAACAAACAGTTCTTTCATAAATGTATATTCAAAACACTTTCAATTATAAATCAAAATTTACATATTTTCACGGGGTTTAACATCAGAAAGAACTAGTAATTTGGTTGAGACTACATATTCGTGAGTCAGAATAAAATAAAAATGAGTCCTGCTAACAATGTTGAATTCAAACAGAACACTAATGAGCCTAAGTATCACATCACTGAGTCACAGTAGCACACTACTGACCCAAAATAGCACACCAATGAGTCAGAGTAGCACACAAATAAACCAGAACATCACATCGAGTCAAAGATAATACTGAATGAAATTTTATTAAATTTACTAACTATATTTTATATATTTTGTACTTGTATACAAACAAAAGATAATAAAAATTAATATTAAGGTTGATCCACACTTAATTTAGGGCACTAAATATTTTACAATGAATGCATACCCTTGCAACCATGCAAGTTCACTTTCACTCGAAATATTTGTTTTACCACTACATCACAGTGGTCAAACTTTTATTTTTTACACTTCAAGTTATTTTAATATATACCTATAATTTTGCTGTCAGCTTCTATCATCAATATATCCTTGTTAAGTTGTTACAAAAAATATATTCTAAAACATCTGTTTGAAATAATTTACAAACTGAATGAAAAACTTTTACAAACCTTGAGCTAGGGAAAGAATTGTTTCACCTTTCCTGCTTCCTTTTAAGTCATTGTAATGATAAGGATGAGGAAATCCTACAAGGAATATAATTCATATACACAAGTTAAATGTTCTGTTGAATTAATTCAAAATTGAGAAAAAAACAGTAAAATTTATATCTTACTTCATTATTTTTTATAAAACATTAAAAGATTTGAGTGGGAAAAGAAATATAAAGTCAATAATATTGAAATAATCAACATGTAAAATTATAAAACATAAAACATTAAAAGATTTGAGTGGGGAAAAGAAATATAAAGTCAATAATATTGAAATAATCAACATGTAAAATTATAAAACATAAAACATTAAAAGATTTGAGTGGGGAAAAGAAATATAAAGTCAATAATATTGAAATAATCAACATGTAAAATTATAAAACATAAAACATTAAAAGATTTGAGTTGGGAAAAGAAATATAAAGTCAATAATATTGAAATAATCAACATGTAAAATTATAAAACATGAAACATTAAAAGATTTGAGTGGGGAAAAGAAATATAAAGTCAATAATATTGAAATAATCAACATGTAAAATTATACTCATAATATGTAACCGATAAGAATCAAAACTGATATTAAATGTCCCTTTATGTACCTGCGGCTAAGGGGAATGTAACTGAGTTAACAGCTTTTTAACCTTGATAACTTTAGATAGCTACATATACAAATATCAGAGGATAAATGGATAGGCTGATAAAGAGACAATATTTTACATATTCAAGCTTACAAATTTTTATCACTTAAAATTCAAGAATTACTTTATGAAATAGATTTTATATATATACATATATTTATTTATTTTTTGGTTATGTGTAATACCATATACATAGTACACTATTCAAACTTTAGGTTTCACATTTAAGTAAAGTACTATACCTCGTATACGTCCAGAAAAACAGTAGTATGCCAGTTATAGTGCATATATAACCTTCATTAAAACTTCTGACTGTTACTAATTTATGCTCTGGATCATCGTCATCTGTTATTCTACCACAATAATTTATCTATCCTATAGAAACTAGTACCTGCACATCTTGTGACAATCAAGATAAGTTCTGTTTAGTCAGGGTGTATAACATCAGTCTCCAAACAAAATGTTAAGCTAAAAATTCCTTTGTCTTGTTTTAGTGCATAGCAATATTTGCTGTATATGCTATGGTGATCAAACCCTGAATTTTAGCTATTAAAAACCTTCAAGCTTTGGGTAGGAACATATTATTTTATTACGGTATGTATATATTGTTGAGGAACATACTAAACCATTACAGTGTATACATATATATTGTTGAATAATTACATCTATAAATAAATCTGAAAATATTATATATATTTTTTTACTTCACATATACAAAATATATTTACAAATTAATATAAAAAGCTGATTTACAGAACCATATGAAAATTCTAAAAACCTGTAATATTCCAATTGAGAGTCTGAACTGCCCTTTTCATGGAGTTTACTGTTGCCTCAATAATAACAGGCATTCTTGCTGGTACAGTGAAGACACCAGTGATCGGGTTTCTCCTCCTGATAGGTACACCTTGGACAGACACAGACTGAAGCCACACCTTTGTAGGAAATAAACTATGTAATTTGATGGAAATTCTGTGCATATACATGCACATATTACACACTTTTTAATCTATTGTGAATTCTCTTGAACAAATTATAATAATATTGTTCAATTTTCTAAGAAACTTTTGTTTTGTACTAAATACATGAATAAGAAAAAAAAGACTTCAAAGTAGTGCTGTTTACAAATTGTAAACTTTACAAGTACTATTAGATTGAGCTGAAATTAATGATATGTTAAGAGCAAATGGATAAACAACAGTAAAGTTCAATCTAGGACTAATTTTAATAAGCTTGAGGTAATTTGCTTTAAAAGAAAACAGAAGGTTTAGACTATTAAAAATGATATAATAAATAAATTAATGTACTTATTTGAAATTCAGGATGATTAATTATAAAATTATTTGATAAGATATAGCAGTGAACTTTTATAAATTTTAATTAATGAACATACAAATAAATATTAGGTTTAAATAACACAAATTCAGAATTTATATTAAGAGATTGATGTACTTATTATAACATGTTAGACAGAATAAAATACTGAAGGACCATTATCTATAAAATTGTATCAAACCAAATTAACAATGACACATGCAAGCATAAGTTAACTTGAACAGCAATAGATGTATGAACAGATAACAGTACAATTACTGGAATTGATTTCTTGCTTCCTTTAATGACGGCAATAAAAGTATGAAAACTAATTTAACACTTAGAGAAAACCATACAAACATACAGAATACCCTAAATAGTTTTAAAAAAAGGTCTAATGGGTATATACAAGTATACAATGTGACTGTAAACAGTAATCAGTAGCCAATCTATAAATAATAAATAGGCATTGAATTTCAAAAAAAGACCCAAAGCTTGACACTTTCAAATAGCTGACTGTTCTTTCAGAATAGCCAACTATTCAAAAGCTCTTGAGTTTTGGGTCTTTTTTTTGAAATTCATTGCATCTTTTGTGTGTGATTTTGTGTGCTAATTCTTTTATGAGAATTAATACATAGGCAAAACATCTTATAAAAAGGAATATTAGCAAGAAGCTTTCCTTGCACTTGTATTTAAAGTTAATAATAATGTATGAAAGGAATCTCTCTCTTGATATGGAAGTCTTAAAATGATATTTTTAAAGTAAACCTTTAAGACCTAAGGACTTTTTCATACAATAAAAAAGCCTAATGACTAAACCTGAGGCATATCTCCTTCTACAACATTCAGAGTCAAAGATGTGTTACTTTTCACACTTGGATTTCTGGCACTGAACACTTGGAGACTAAATTTGAGCTTCTTCCCTGATTCCAGTTGTGAAGACAGCAATTTCAATACAGACTTGCTTTGTTCTTCTCTGGATACTAGTATGTTGTTCTGGGATGTTTCCATCATATTGTAACATGGTTCATTGTTCTGTATATGAATAATGGTGTAAATAAAGATATTTACACTATGCCACATATGTTTCATTTAGCTAAAATATGGAAACATCAAAATATTTGTATAGATGTATATAAAATTTCATGTCAAGAAAAAAATAATAATTATTCCAGCTTTCCAGGTTTATCCATATGGAAATATTATAAATTTTGAATATAACAATGTTCTTAGTAAGTACATAGTGGATGAATAGACCATTTAAATTACAATAATAATGTTTTTAGTAAAGTACACAGTGGATGAATAGACCACGTAAATTACAATAATAATGTTCTTAGTAAGTATACAGTGGATAAAGAGACCATGTAAATTACAATAATAATGTTCTTAGTAAGTATATAGTGGATGAATAGACCATGTAAATTACAATCATAATGTTCTTAGTAAGTATACAGTGGATAAAGAGACCATGTAAATTACAATAATAATGTTCTTAGTAAGTATATAGTGGATGAATAGACCATGTAAATTACAATAATAATGTTCTTAGTAAGTATAAAGTGGATAAATAGACCATGTAAATTACAATAATAATGTTCTTAGTAAGTATAGAGTGGATGAAGAGATCATGTAAATTACAATAATAATGTTCTTAGTAAGTATAGAGTGGATGAAGAGACCATGTAAATTACAATAATGATGTTCTTGGTAAGTACACAGTGGATGAATAGATCATGTAAATTACAATAATAATGTTTTTAGTAAGTACATAGTGGATGAAGAGATCGTGTAAATTACAATAATAATGTTCTTAGTAAGTATAAAAGTAGATGAATAGATTATGTAAATTTCAATAATAATGTTTTTAGTAAGTACACAGTGGATGAATAGACCATGTCAATTACAATAATAATGTTCTTTGTAAGTATATAGTGGATGAATAGACCATGTAAATTACAATAATAATGTTTTTAGTAAGTACACAGTGGACGAATAGACCATGTAAATTACAATAATAATGTTCTTAGTAAGTACACAGTGGACGAATAGACCATGTAAATTACAATTATAATGTTCTTAGTAAGTACACAGTGGATGAATAGACCATGTAAATTTCAATAATAATGTTCTTAGTAAGTACACAGTGGATGAATAGACCATGTAAATTACAATAATAATGTTCTTAGTAAGTATAGAGTGGATGAATAGACCATGTAAATTTCAATAATAATGTTCTTAGTAAGTAAATAGTGGCTGAATAGACTGTGTAAATTACAATAACAATGTTCTTAGTAAGTACATAGTGGATGAAAAGACCACGTAAATTTCAATAATAATTTTCTTAGTAAGTACACAGTGGGTGAATAGACCATGTAAATTTCAATAATAATGTTCTTAGTAAGTATAAAGTGGATAAATAGACCACATAAATTACAATAATAATGTTCTTGGTAAGTACACAGTGGACGAATAGACCATGTAAATTACAATAATAATGTTCTTAGTATGTACACAGTGGATGAATAGACCATGTAAATTTCAATAATAATGTTCTTAGTAAGTAAATAGTGGATGAATAGACTGTGTAAATTACAATAATAATGTTCTTAGTAAGTACATAGTGGACGAATAGACCATGTAAATTACAATAATAATGTTCTTAGTATGTACACAGTGGATGAATAGACCATGTAAATTTCGATAATAATGTTCTTAGTAAGTAAATAGTGGATGAATGGACTGTGTAAATTACAATAATAATGTTCTTAGTAAGTATACAGTGGATGAAGAGACCACGTAGATTACAAAACATGCAAACATTTATCATTTGGACCTACATTTCATACTGACCATGTTACTGCAAAAGTAAGACATGTACATGTAAGATAAACATTAGAAAAACCATAATCGACCAACTTAATAACTATTTTCACCTTATCATGACAACTCCATTGATAAACAACTGGAACCCCAAATCCTCCAGACTCAGATCCATCCAACAAAATGGTTCCACTTCTACTACCAACTGTAACTTCTGGCTCACCTGAAATGAGAAAAAAACTATTTAATGAAACAAAAATGTTATACATTAACACAAATTGAACAATTAAGAGTTAAATCTATATTTCCTTCAAAGGATTTTTTAAAATTATTTTCGTTTAATTTTATGACATGGAATTTTTCACAAAATAATTTATAAGCTGCTAAGCAGAAAGATATATAATAGACTATCTGTAATGAGCTCACCACAATGATCAAAGCATGAATTTTAGCATAAAAGAAGCTAACTCGTTTGTTTCAAAATAATTAACTAGTCTTCTATCACAGAAATCCAAAATTTTTCATTACTTCAGTCTCATTTCATTACACATATATTCAATTTTTTACATAGTAAAATTTCAATTTTCATTAGACACACAATAAAGGAACAATTTTGATAGTATTTCAGGTGATGTTTCCCAAAATATTCCTAAAAGATTAAGATTTGTCTTACATGAATATTCATTAATGTTAAAATCATGTAGAGTCACAAAGGTTTGACAGATATGCCTGTATTCATCAAAAGTGAAGGTAAAATAATAAAGTGGACTGTATTGAATAAAAAATAAATAATATCATTAAGCTATTTGAATTCTTTTTAACTTTCTTCAACTTTTACAGTTTTTTGTTCCCTCTGATGTAGAAAGTGATCCACTGCCATGGAAGTAACAAGTGACTTTGGTTCATACTTGACCAATCACATTTACTTTCTTTACAGTCTAATATGTTAATTTTCTTTCCAATATATGTGGAGAATGATATACCACTGTCGGTTCTCTCATTTAGTTTTATAATAACTTCTGAAAGAGGAAATTTATAGCCTCATTTATAAAATCATATATTTTTAATATATGTTTGAAAATATATTCAGAATCATTGCTATTTTTAATAGATGTATTTTAAAGTTCAGAAAAGTTTTTTCATGAAAATTACAAATTATGAGAGCATACCGTAAAATAACAATCAGTATAAATAAAATAAATATGCGTATACATATACATATATTTTTATTTATTTATTAATATTGACCTGAATGTGCAATTATATTCAAATGTATAACACAGTTATGCAAGCATATAAACTCATATACACATAAACATGTAACCTCGTTGACTGTTTATATCGGAGTATAAGTTAACCTTGCTAAATCACTATATTTGGGAAAGAGATTGAGAACATCCATTTTTATAGTCATGTTTTTTTTTTCATACTAGCGAGTTGAATTACCTTATAAAATGGGAACCGTGCAAGAAAAGGCTCAATGTGTCAGGGTGGGCCAATTTCATAGCTTCCTCTTTTGCCAGATATCACTCCACTAGACATATTTCTTTGAGGTACGTTAAGGACATCACGTATCGCATACCTATAGCAAACATCATGGAGCAAAAGACCAGGATAATGGATGCCATCACCACTGTAACTATGGGCATGTTGCAGTGAACACGGACTGAAATCAAATATTGGTTACATTTAAAAAAAGCATAACAGAAAACTATGAAGGCCACTGCACTGACTGGTCTCAACAGTATTTAGTCAGTTTCCCGGCAGGACAGCCAAAGAAAGAAATCCCTCCTCACCAACAAGATGCGGTTCATGTGGGCCAGAGAGCATGTTGACTGGACTAAAGCAATGTGGAGCAAAGTGATCTTCTCATAGAAATCAAAGTTCAACTTGCAGATAAACATATAAAGTCATAGACTTTTTATATCTGAATGTAAGTTAACCTTACTAAATCACCACATTTTGGAAAGAACTTCAAAACATCAATATACAAACATACTTGGTGTTTCAAAAGTCACTTCTGCTGTTCAGACATCTGTGTTCAGGAAACTGAGGAACACAGTTCAATCTGTATGGGTCTGATGGGAAGCACTTTGTATGATGTTGATGTGGAGAAGAGCTTCATCCAGCATGCTTAAATAAAACTGTGAAGTATGTGAAGAGTCACTTGATACAGGAATGTCTAATGCTTCCATGCCATTACAGAATGTAAATTTCAACACTATGGTAATGCATCATTAATCCCCGATGACAATTGAATGAGCCAGGGTGAGAATACTTATCATTCTTTAGAATTCCCACATATTTGTACCAAGGACATGTCACAAGGGTTCTGCTTGAATGAACATACTGATCAAATTTAGGGTCTGAAATAACTGTCATGGTACATCATGTAGTGTCTTAACTATATAGAAAGAAGCTAGCATATGATACCACTATATGCTAGAAGAAATCAATTTAATAGCATTCCACAAATAAACCTTGATAAAAACAGTGTTTAACACTATATATTAAGTTTTGTTTTCATGCCATAGCCCAAAAAACATAGAGAATTGTCAGTAGAGCAGAGAGTTCGCATAAAAGCTTTACGTGATACCGGTTGGATTCTCTGACAAATTGCTGCAGACTTGAAATGATACCAAAACACAGTCAAGTACACCCCAGATCATGAGACTGAGACAGATAAATTTGAAAATATGAAAGGAAGAGGCAGACCACCTAAACTCAATGATACTGATGTTAAGTATCTTCATTTATGCAGCCTTTGGGACAGAAGGAAGACAGCCACTATTCTTAAGCATGAGATAAACGACCATGTACCAAATGACAGAAAAGTGTCCAGATCTACAGTATCAAGAAGACTCAACGAGAATGGAATATTTGGTTGTGTATCAGTTAAAAAACCTTTAATTTGATCTTCAAATATTGTCAAGAGACTGAAATTTGCTAAAATGTACAAAAACTGGACTGCTGATGATTGAAAAAGGGTGTTGTGGATGGATGAGTCAAAGTTTGAAATACTTGGTTCAAAGTAGCTCGAAGACATTGATATGGAGAGTGGATTCTGGAAGAGTCCACCTTTCTGACACCTCCAGACCATCAAGATATGCACCCCAACCAGAAAGAGAAGCATACATAAAATACATACATAGCTATATGTTGCAACACAGCTAGTGCTACAGGTGTTTCAATTCAGAAGCAGAAAAAAAAACTTATTGATTTAAGATATTACCTTTGATAATGGCTTGAACTGGTTGTGGCACTACTTGAAGTGTAACTGAAGCAAATGTGGATTCATTCATAGCAGTATCCAGAAAAGTACGAAGGGTGAAGGTCACGGTCTCTCCCACTGTTTAAAACACTTTAATTAGTGTCTTAATTATTTTGTATACATTTGAATTAACCAATCAGACAAAATATCTGACATTATTTTCCTTTAATATATTGCTAAAACCATTCTATAGAGGCAGTAATGAGCAAAACTTTAATCACCATAAAAGTGATATTACTCGTGGTAACATTGAAACTTGATCATCTGTGTTCTTAATTGCACACACAAACTAGAAATATCTTTGCAATAAAAAAAATAGAATTGTGTGCACTAAAAAGCTTAGCTCTTTTAGAATGGGTAGGTTAAAGTGCACATGTCACAACTTTTTACAGAGTTACATTCAAAATGTAATTAAACTACTTTATTATCAATGAAAAAGAATGAATTTGAATAAAAATGTAATTAATAATTCAAATTTTAATATTATATAAGTTTTAAGATCTTAATTTTATAAGTAAATATTTAATATAAATCCTCAATCTCCCCTAGTATGAAAATTGTGACATTTGTTCTCTAGGTCTGTCCTCTTCTTTAATTTATTTACCACCTCTCCAAGGAATACGGAATTTAATGTAACTTAAATATTATACTATAGATATTACTTAGGCAAAGTATAATTTGTATAGCCTTCAATCTTATTCATTTATGGAGACATAAACTAGAAAATCAGACCTACTTCCCACACCCATCTATCACATCCTCTCTTTCACAAATTGCCACTAGATCTTTCTGATGTTTTATACTATATTTTTATAACCAATAGAAAACCAAAGTTTTAATCTATCAAATAATATATTATATTACATTGTTTTCTGTACAAAGAACTGACTATTTTGCCTACAGTTCACAACTTTTTTTTTTCACAGGAAGCACATATACAAATTTAAATGAATTTGTAAAGGCTTTTATTGCATTGTTACAAAGCCAGAAAAAAATAGGATAGTTATAAGACATTGTTTACTCTGTGCATGTAATTATTATGTGTTCTTAGGTGTAGTATTTAATTCAATTAACATTATCTAGTGTAGTAGGACAATTAGCATAAAAAGTAAGCTTAAGTTTCATTAACAGTGAACAGCAAAAATATAAGAGAACCAGGGAATTACTATACTTCTTGTTTTTCATGTGTATTCTTTATTTATCACATAAAAGTAACTAAAATGTAAAAATTAGAAACTTATTAGATTAGTTAAGATTAGATGATGTTAGATAATAAAAAATAATAATTCTTTCTTGTGTGTGAAAGTTGGTTATCAATTTCTTAAACCTGTAATATCCAGGTTTGTTTTCTCCTCCTGATGTTATTACATATAACTTTTACAGAAGTTTAGATTTGATTAATTGCACCCAAGTAACAATTTTTTATAGTATGAATGTTTAATGCAAAGATACACAATGGTCTATCTGTGCTCTGAGTCAGTAGTAAGTTCAAATAACTTACAACAATAAAATCCAGGGTTTGATTCTCTATTGTAAACAGAAATGTAAGGGTCCTTCCTACTCTGTAAATTTGAAATATACTTCCATAAATATATACTTAAGTAAGTGAATCAAGTATTCTTTCTTAAGAAAAAAAAAGTTTGCTGTAAAAATGTCTCAGTAGATGGCATTTTATTGCCTGTCTTCCTTTGGATCCTAATAACATAATGGCCACCAAGAGAAGATCCTTAAACAGCAGATTGCATACTTAGACAAATACAAGTAATGCAAATAAGAACAACATATATTAAATTACCTATATTCATTACTGCATTAAGTTTTAGTTACAAACCATGTGGATCAGAAGTTAATAATAAAATATTTCTGTAAAAACAATAAGTAAATTATGTACTACTTTTTCGTACATATAAACAAAGTTATGTTTGTTGGTTGATTAAATGATCAACTGGTGGCAAACTCTTCAAACTATACATACAGAACATGAAGTATAAGTTTTAAAAACACTTAATATCCTATAAAATCTTGACTAACAGCCTGGGCAAGCAGTTATTAAATATTCCATTTGATTATAAAACTGGTCAAAACATATTAAAAATATCTAACATTGCATCCTGATCACTGAGAAATGCCAAAACAGAAGAAAATATTTTAATTTGGCATAGGCAAAACATTAGAAAAGTTAATTTAAAGAGAATCCCTTTTATTATTGATTCACTCTTGTGTTTTGTTTGTTTATTGCCATACAGTTGTACTTTCTCCAATCAGAGAAATTCAGTGAAATAAAAAACATATAAGTTAGCTAAGTTGTTTGTTTGTAATTGAGCACAACACTGCACAATGGGATATCTGTGTTGGGTCTCCCATTGGGTATAGAACCCCTTTTATTATTGATTCACTCTTGTGTTTTGTTTGTTTATTGCCATACAGTTGTACTTTCTCCAATCAGAGAAATTCAGTGAAATAAAAAACATATAAGTTAGCTAAGTTGTTTGTTTGTAATTGAGCGCAACACTGCAATGGGATATCTGTGTTGGGTCTCCTATTGGGTATAGAATCCCTTTTATTATTGATTCACTCTTGTGTTTTGTTTGTTTATTGCCAT